TCCTCCCGCAGAGGATGCAGGCTTCCTGAGGATTGGGAGGGGCCTGGTGGGCGGGTTGCAAACCCTGAGGAAGGGCCCCAATGGCCTCAGGGGAGCATTGAATGTGGATGCCTTTCCGCGGGGGCATCATCTCAGGACCCTCGGACTTGCTCTGGAGAGAACCGCCTGGTGGGAAGGGTCCCCAGGCAGCTGGTCACCTGAAGATGGTGGGTGCTAGGCCCCTCCTGTAGCCAAAAGGAGATCTTGACATTTCCTTCTAGACGGGGTGCTTGAAACAGGGATAAATTCCTAAACGATGTGCTTTGCAGCTGGACAGCTAGAGTGGAGAGTCAAAGCCCAGTGTTTCAAGTTCCGCGTTGACAGAGTACATAGGAGACAGTGAGCCAAAGTGTGAAGTGTATTATTTAACCATAAAGCAGGGGCCTGTCCTGAGCAGAAGGCCCCTGAGACATCAGAGACTCATAGGATGTCAGCGTGGAGCCTCACCCTTCCCTGTCAAAGTCATGCAGGCGCTGCTGTGGGGGAGGTGACACACAGGAGACCTTACCTGTTAGCTGTACAGTGACGTGTTCGTACCTATTCGTCATCGGGACATTTCCATTTCCCTGCAGTGAAGGAAGGCATAGGCGACGTCCTGTGAGTCTGGACTTAATAGAAGGGGCTGGTGACCTGAAGAGTCATAATAGCAACTGGAACAAAGCAGTTGTGAGGACCAAGAGCACGGACATCTAGTCTAGTCTCAACTACCTCCTAGCGTAGGAACCCAGTTTCCTTAGCCTCTCTGAATGCTTCCTCATTTTAAAAGGGGATTCACGATGATCTTTATGAACTGTAGATCACTGTATAAATATCGGGCCCTGAGAGAAATAACAAGAGGACTGAATTCAAATGTTCACTTTTGGAGCCTTTCCCAAGAACCCTTCCCCTTCCAAGAAAACAAATAAATTAGTGACTTCTTCCGCGTTCTCAAACGCATCCGAGCTGCTAAGCCTGTGTATAAGCATTTCACCCGCTGGACACTCACTACCTCCTGAAACTGCCCGGACCGACTTTGGCTGCCCTTAACTGTAGAAAATCGTCTCTACTCACCACATATTGGTCTCCCCAGAGTTCCCATCCACTCTTTTAAATCTTCCCTTTTGGGACCACACAGACCAAGTCTTACTCCTCTTCCAAACGCTCACCTTTAAATATTGGAAGGAAGCTGGGATTTTCCCACCTGAGTCCAGACTGTCACAGGCTGAAGCCGTGGGTGCACCCGATGTTTCCCCCAGGGCAAGCCCCACCCTTTGCGTGACTCCCTTCAAGGGTGTCCTTAAGCTGAAACACTGGAAACCAATGTCCACCAGGGGAGACTCACTAAAAATGCAGTATATTTTATCAAAATAGAACACATAAAATATATACTTTACGGGGTTCTGGCCAGGTAGCTCAGCTGGTTAGAGCATGGTTGCCAATACGCCAAGGTTGCGGTTCAATCCCTGGTCAGGACACCCACAAGAATCAATCAATGAATACATAAGTGGAACAACAGTCAATGTTTCTCTCTGTGTGTCTCTCTCTCCCTCTCTCCCTCTCTCTCTCTAAAATCAATCAACACACACACACATATTTCACAGCATGAGAAAAACGATCACAGCCTATTTGATGATAAAGGAAGTTTTAAAGTAGATTTTGTATAACTTCAATTTTGTAAATAAACAGTATGAATATTAATTTGCATAAGGTTTAGTCCTGGGAGGTAATACAGGTGATATTTCCCTTGTTTGTACCTTTGCTCAAATTTTCTACAATCAAGCCCTGAAGTGTAGTCCAGTTGGTTAGAGTATTAAGTAGGTCTCCAGCCAGATAGTCAATATGACCACAGTACAAACATAAGTTGAGACTTCTGATTTTTTGTTCCATTTACTTATGTTTGGCAACTCACTGTCCAGATTATTTTCTTGGGGAAAAAAAAAAAACTTTTTTTTTTTTTATCCTCACCCAACGATATTTTCCCATTGAATTTTAGAGAGAGAGGGAAAGACAGAAATATTGATGTGAGAGAAATACATCAATTGGTTGCCTCCTGCATGTGCCCTGACCAGGGCCCGGGCCAGGGAGGACCCTGCAACTGAGGTATGTGCCCTTGACCAGAATCGAGCCCGAACCCTTCAGTACACAGGCCAATGCTCTATCCACTGAGACAAACCGGCCAGGGTGGAAAAACACCTTTTTCATATACAAAATTGAGCTGTTGTGGCTCCGTGGTTGAGCACTGACCTATGAACCAGGAGGTCACAGGCTCAATTCCCAGTCAGGGCACATGCCTGGGTTGTGGGCTCAATGGTGCGTGATTCTTTCTCATCATTGATGTTTCTCTCTCTCTCCCCCCCTCTCCTTTCCTCTCTGAAATCAACTAAATATATATATGTGTGTGTGTGTGTGTGTGTGTGTGTGTATGTGTGTGTGTGTATATATGTGTGTGTGTATATATATGTGTGTGTGTGTGTATGTGTGTGTGTATATATGTGTGTGTGTATGTGTGTGTGTATATATGTGTGTGTGTGTGTGTGTGTGTGTGTGTGTGTGTGTGTGTGTGTATATACATATATATATATGCATGAATGGTGTGCCATACTTGCCTTTTTCTCTCCTGGGCAAATGATTCCAGTCCCGTTGGAGAACCAGTGACCAGAAACCCTGCTGCACTTGACATGGTGCGTGGGTATGATGAAAAGATGAACTCCTGGCTCTTCTACTTCAAAACATCCTGGGATTTTCCTGGTTTGGGAACGCTGCGGAATGGTGGAGCTGGCGTGCCTTTTTCACTCCTTTTCCTTTCTCAGAGAGGCGCCTGCTTCCTCTTGTTGGTGGCTACCAGGCACTTCTCAGAACCCCGGACTGAGCTGGTGGTACCCAAAGTCCTTTGAACTATGGGATGGAGATCAAGTCCTAAGAATCAGACGGGAGAAAGTGAGTGAGAAGGGATGCTACGAGAGTGGTTCTCAGTGTCAGGGAAGTAGAGAAGGAAACAAATTCTCGTTGGGTGCCCGCCAAGACCCCGGTCCTCTAGGTTCGCCTCTGCACATGTATTTGTGAGCTGAGAAGGGGGAGGAAGCTAGTTTTGTTATATTTCAAAGATTTAGGACCTGGGCCACTAGGGAAAAATTATAGGAACTTACGGCCAATTAGCAGCCCTCATTACCCATAAGTGGTTGTCAGGACATCAGATAGAAGAAAATATCCCAAGAATTTTTAGAGAGGAAAAGGTCTCAGACGAAGAGTCAAGAATTTGAATGGAATTCAACTCCTCAACAAAACACAGATAGCTAGCTATGAGGATAAGGAAGCAAAGGAAAAACTGGGATCCAGGAATCCGGGGCCCACACAGGAGAGACGCAATGGGCATTCCAGGGCGGCGGTAGAGGAAGCCCCAGATAATATGGTTCTTGTGCAGAAACCTGGGGAGCATGCAGTCAGACCCAAAGCTTCACACCAGGTGTCTCAGGAGTGAGCATGGGACTGCTGGAAGTGACTTACCGGGACATGACATTGGGTGAGGTTTTATAGAGCTGGTATTTATATTTTTTGTTAATCCTCACCAGAGGATATTTTTTCCATTAATTTTTTTTAGCGGGCGGTGTGTGTGTGTGGGGGGGGGCGCTGGGGCGGGCAGGGAGAGACAGAGAGAGAAACATCAATGTGAGAGAAACAATCCAATTGGTTGCCTCCCCCGACCGGCCAGGGACTGAGCCTGCAACCGAGATATGTGCCCTTGACTGGAATTGAACCCAACAACCTTCAGTCCACGGGCCAACTCTCTAACCACTCAGCAAACCAGCTAGGGCTAGAGCCGTTATTTTTAGGTGAGAAAACATTTAACAGTAGCTCATAAAAACCAAAACAACTGAAGAAGTAAAGCAATTAAATCCAATAAAAAAGGTAGTTTTACAATTCAGGAATTGTAATCACTGTATACTCTTTTGTTATCATTACATAGTCCTATGTTTTGTCATAACTGTGAAAAGGCTGAATATGGATTTCCATACAAAAGAGCTAAAACTGTCACCCACTCTACCAGAAAGTTATGAGTTAGATCTCAAACTGTAGAGCTAACAAATAGCAGTATCTGCCTTTACTTTTACACGTGGAGGTAAATACCAGAACAAGCGGCTCAATGCACTGAAAGCAGATACCCTGGGAAACAGGAAGTGGGGGAACAGGAGACCACATGTTTTGGTAATGAGATGAGATTTTTCCCACCAGACTTTCCCCCCTGGCTTTTATTTTGAAAAAATTTAAATCTATATAAAAGTTAAAGAACAGTATAATGACTGTCCATATACTGGATATTAACCTGGATTCCACATTACCATTATTTCTCCCTCATTTTTTTGTGTGAACCGCTTAAAGTGAGTTCAAAACATCACAAGGTTTCGTTCATAAATACTCCCGCTGGTGGCTCTTGAGAGCAAGGGCATTCTCCTCCATGCTCTGAGTGTCAACATCACATCTGAGGAAATTAACAATAATCCCCATGACCCCCTATGTGGGCTGATATACAAGCCACAGTCAGATTTTCTCATCATTCCCCCAAATGTTGTGTATATATATATGGTTTTTTTTTTCATCCAGGACTTACTCAGATTTCAGTTTGAACTTTTATTTATTTTTTACTTTTCACTTTTTTGTTAATCCTCACCCAAGGATATTTTTCCATTGATTTTTTTTAATTGACTTTAGAGAAGAAGGGAGAGGGAGAGAGAGAGAGAAACATCAACGATGAGAGAGAATCATTGATCGGCTGCCTCCTACACATCCCCTACTGGGGATAGAGCCTGCCACCCAGGCTTGTGCCCTTGACCAAAATCAAACCTGGGGTCCTTCAGTCCGCAGGCCGACGCTCTATCCACTGAGCCAAACCAGCTAGGACGCCTAGGACTCCATTGATCTTTTAGAGAGAGTGGAAGAGAGTGGGAAAGACAGAGAGAAACATGGATGTGAGAGAAACACATCAATTGGTTGCCTCCCGCACACCAAGGTGCATGCCCTTGGCAGGAATTGAACCCGGGACCATTTGGTCAGCAGGCCAACACTCTGTCCACTGAGCCAAACCGGCCAGGGCTCAGTTTGAACTTGTAAATTACAGAGGAGTCCCTGCCCCACCAGGCCTGTTTGGCTTTTCCCGACCTGAGTCTTTTGAAGATGGGACTCTAGTTGGCTTGGAGAATGGCTCCTGTGCTAGACGTTGCCTCGCGGTTACATTCAGGGCCCCATGGAAACGCTTCCTATGCACGTGCTTACTTTATAAACAAACAAACAAACAAACAAACGGAGCTGGCACTTGTTTCCGCTTTTTAAAAAGAGGCCACTTTCTCTCTCAGGCGGAGTTTGCTGCCTTCCCCATGAGTGGGTCAGCCCGTGCTTTCTACGTGTCCCTGACACACGCCACTCCAGGAAGCGGTTCGACACCTTTCCCGGGGGGCAGACATCTTCACAGCTCTTCACTGCAATTCGCTCCCCGGGGGATCTGGTTCGCTCATCTGCCCGAGACGTTCTGCTAGCGCACATCCGTGTCGGTGTCTGACCACGAACGCGATGGCTCCCGCGCAGACCCGGGAAGCCGCACAGAACGGAACGGATGCTCCTGCGCGATGACCGGGCGCAGAGCGCTGGGGGTCGGGGTGCTGGCCCGTCTGCCACGACCCCGTGACCCTGAGCAAGCCCTGGGCCCCTCGGCCTCTCGGGCTCCAGGGTTCTTATCTGTCAGAAGACGGGGTAGAACAAGCTGAGGATGAAAACCCTCTGAGACGCGTCTAACTGAAACGCAGAAGAAGCCTCGAAGCATTGTCACGACGTGGAGGCGCTCCACCAAGGTTTAACAGCGGCATGGCGAAGGGCTGGGACGTGCAGCCCTGGGGCAGTGAGTATTCTGAGCGAAGGCACTAGAAAAGCAGCAAATGCAGGGGGAGGCTTACCCCACTCCCCTCATCTGCCTGAAGCCTGACCCTCCTAGAGGGACTTGTTATCACAAACCCCCACCCCACCCCAGGAATGCCATCCACCCGGGAAGGCTCTTATCACGGAGGCTAGGAGTCAGCACCACCCCCAGACAAACTGTCACAAACTGGGATCGCTCCCAGCTCGTCTTCTCAAGCCCCCTTCGTCTCCCCTACAATGTCCTCTCCCCTAGGTTGGCTACCTCCCTCCCCTTCCTGTTGGGGGGGTATAGGAGCCCTGAATCTCACCAATTTATTATTCTGTTTTCTTGTGATGCTCCTCCGTACAAGTATTAGACATGAATACATTTGTCTACCGTCTCTGTCCCTCTGCCTGTTGTCAGTTTCTCCCACAGGCCCAGCTGCGAACCTGGGAGGGAGAGAGGTGTTCTGTCCCCTACAGGGCGACCTGTGGGTGGTACCCGGTTACCGTTATCGCCGCTGTGATTTCCTTCCAATGGCCCAGACGCTTTGTAAATTCTCCCTCACACCTGCGAGAAGGAGGGCAGGAGGTGGCGAGCCCTGGACTCCGCCAGGGGGTCGCGTCTCCCCCAGAGCTCCGCAGATGAGTGATTCTTCAACTCTGGGCCCAGCTCCGAGCCGCAAGGCTGCCGTTTTCCCTTTATGACACGAATGGGGAAGAAGGTGGTAGATGCAGTCATCTCTCAAAAATCTCATTGAGCCAATTCCTGAAACTTTGAGGAACACGAGACATTTTTGTGTCTTTGGTACTGTTGTCATATTGAATAGCTGGCTGCATATCTACTTAATGGTGTTTCCCATCTTCCTGTACTTAAATGACCTATTCTCTTTTAAACGGGTATTAAGGACACATCCGACTTTTTCTTTCTTTGCTTTGCAGCCATGGCTTCTGGTGCCAGAGCGTTCTGAGTCTGCGAATAATTATCTGGTTTAACTGATGGATACCCTGAAGGTAATCACATCAATTGCTCATGGTTCGGTTTTGCTTGTACTTCCTGTATCAAAGTCTCCCCCTCCCCAAATCCTGGGATGATGACGTTACCAACAGCGCTCCTTTCAGATTACACGGTATTTTCCACCAGACCCTCTCTCACATTGCTCACACCCGTGGCCAATGCAGGCTTCAGTGGGGAACCAGGAAAGGTAACCCTCCTCAGCCGTGTTGGAGGGATCCTCAAAACAGTCTCGTTCACTCCTAGACCCTGAAATCTCTAGATCCTCAGAGCCACGGGAGCCTGGAGAGAAGAGAAGAGGGTGAAATGAGGAGTCAACCAGTTCCTGGGCCAGACCTTGGGGTGGGAGGAGGGGAGAGGGGGAGAGAGAGGGAGGGAGAGAGGGAGAGCCAGAGAGTGGCCCTCAAGGCAATGCCCATGGATTTTGGGAGTCTTCAGAGACACATCAATCAATCACAATGAATGGGGCCTTTTGGATCCTGTTTCTAACCTGTTTTAAAAAAATTATAGAACAATCGAGGAAATGGAACATTGACTGGATTCTGGTGAAATTAAAGAATTATTCTCATGCTATTAAGGTTCATGTTCTTTGTGAAAAGTTTTTTTTTTTTTTTTTTTTTTTTTTTAATATATTTTATTACTTTCTTACAGAGAGGAAGGGAGAGAGATAGAGAGTTAGAAACATCGATGAGAGAGAAACATCGATCAGCTGCCTCCTGCACATCTCCTACTGGGGATATGCCTGCAACCAAGGTACATGCCCTTGACCGGAATCGAACCTGGGACCTTCCAGTCCGCAGGCTGACGCTCCATCCACTGAGCCAAACCGGTTTCGGCTCTTTGTGAAAAGTTTTTATCTTTTAGGAATTCTAACTGAAATGGTTATGATGTCTGGCATTTGTGGGAGTATAGATGGCATAAGGCTGGCCTAAAGCTAGTCAGCGGTGAAGCAGCCAGAGGAGTAGGCACATGGGGTCTGTAATATGTTTCTTTCTTTTTATTTTATATATATATATATTTTTTATTTGATTTTATTATTTTTTATATTTTTATTGATTTCAGAGAAGAAGGGAGAAGGAGAAAGAGATAGAAACATCAAGGATGAGAGAATCATTGATCAGCTGCTTCCTGCACACCCCCTACTGGGGATGGAGCCCACAACCCAGGCATGTGCCCTTGACCAGAATCGAACCCGAGACCCTCTAGTCCGCAGGCCAATGCTCTATCCACTGAGCTACACCAGTTTTGGGCTATGTATTTTTTTAAAAATATTTTTATTGATTTCAGAGTGGAAGGGAAAAGGAGAGAGAGAGATAGAAACATCAATGATGAGAGAGAATCATTGATCGAACCCGGGCATGTGCCCTGCCTGGGAATTGACCGTGACCTCCTGGTTCATAGGTTGATGCCCAACCACTGAGCCACGCCAGCAGGGCCGGAATATGTTTCTTTCTAACCTTCTATCCATTTGAAATTTTTCAAAACAATTTAAAAATGATAACCAAGAAAACAAATCTTTTCACAACTGACAGTAAGAGACGGAGAAGTCTAATTTTGTGTGCTCCATTTTATATTAGGCAGCCCTCAGGTTTATCGAATAGAAATAAAGTCTTGCATTTGAAGGTAAATATAAAAATGGGAAAAGCGAGAAGAGTCCTGATATTTTATTTTCCCAAGTAAGGCAATATCGCCACGCATTTGACTCATGTTTACAGTTTCAAAGTACTTTATATCTTGTTTGCTCTTGGGAAAGCCTGGTATGTATACTTGTCATATATGCCATCTGACAAAATGTGTTCATTACGTTGCTTTTGCTTTTTTTTTTTTTTTTTTTTTAACAATTTACTTTAAACCTCTGGAAATATTCATATTGCTTTATTAGTCTCTTAGTTGTTTCTTATAGATTTATTTCCTGTTCTCACTTTGCAAGTAAAACTCAGCCTGAATGTCTATTCACAATATTAGAATTCTTAAATGTTCCCCTATCCTGATTTGAGCAGCTTTATTTTCCCTCTTAGCTTCTATTTGGGGGACTGCTCGGGAGAAAAAAAAGCCCTCTCTGATTTCCTCTGAGCCCACCCAGCTGTTTTATTTCGTGTTCGCTTATTTCCCAGGCTCCCGGTTGGAGTGAGGAGCCGTCAGAAGTGTTCTGTTCTCTTTAATACTTTATCAGCATTTCCTTTATTAGCCACATTATCCTTTATCTCTTTCCTGCGAAAGCTTTTAAAGGCAAAATTGATGAAGTCAACGTCATTTGTTATTTAAATATGATGCCATCAACGTTTACAAGTACATTATAAGAAGATTTAAAGGCCATATCCCATCCTGATGATCACCAACCCACACACGTTTGGTAATCTGACTCCCCCTCCCCCTTCTGTCAGGTTCCAGGATTCCAGCCTCTGAGCACAGAAAATGATCAGGGGCCCTGGTATGACCAACTCCGAACTGGTCACAGACCTTTCACAAGGTCAAGAGCAGTAAACGCCTGTCTTCATAGCGGCAACACATTCTTTTTTTTTTTTATATATATATATATATTTTTTTATTGATTTTTTACAGAGAGGAAGGGAGAGGGATAGAGAGCTAGAAACATTGATGAGAGAGGAACATCGATCAGCTGCCTCCCGCACACCCCCCACTGGGGATGTGCCCGCAACCAAGGTACATGCCCCTGACCAGAATCGAACCTGGGACCCCTCAGTCCGCAGGCCGATGCTCTATCCACCAAGCCAAACTGGTTTTGGCGACAACACATTCTTAAGTTAACCCCAAAGACCTAGATGTGTCCTGCCAGCATTGGTCTTTATGGAATCACTGGGCCGTCATTCCACCACCATCCTCTAAGAAAGGGTCTGTAAGGCGATATCCGGGAAAGAAGGGATCGCCCCCCCTCCCCACCCCATCCCCAGTGAAGGCTTCCCTGGACTCAACAGGACTCACTCTGTGACGCTGCAAATATTAAATATAGCTGCATGAATCACACCGCAAAATCCCAGTCCTGAAACCGGGTGTCAGGCATCACGCTTCGCCCTCTCTCCTTGCTCACGAATAACAGAGAACCAATCCAGGGAATGTTGGTCTGTACAAAGAAGACTCTCCCGCTTTATTCCTGGCTCTGGAAGACACATTCTGCATTTGACATGACATATGTTTCTCAACTGTTATTTTGTGTTTATTAATCTTTGAACTAAATTGTCGGTCCTTGTCACCGGGGAAGACATTTCCCCAGAACCCTCCTGATTCATGCTACGGGTACAGAACAGCTGACAAACTCCAGTGACCTCTGAGGAGGCCGATGGGCTTTGTGGCTTTGAACAGCCACGTGGCTTTCTGGGTGGTGGATGACAACATAACCCAGGCTAAAAAGGCTGGCCAACATGCTTGGGCCTTTTCCATATTTGTCAAGTTGATCATAGGGTTATGTCACCTGTTCTGTGGTTGTGTAAAACCTCTTTATTGTGACCATCCTTGCCACTATTTGTCATCATTGCATATGTCTTTGTGTATATTTCTTTATACATGCAAAATAATCCTTGCTTATTACCACAGTAGCAAGAGCTAACATTTATTAATTGCTTATAAGGTGTCAGGCACCCTGCTTAAAAGCTTAAAACTTTTGCCTCATTTAACGTAAACAACTCCATGAGATGGCTATCATCGCCATTTTGCAGATTTAAAAAAGGCATGGGAATAAAGGAGTCAAATTTATCGCCTATTCGTTCTTCCTGAAAAAAATTTCAAATTATTTTCTGCAAAAGTGGCAGAAAAAAATAAACTAGTCAAATTTATATGTAAATGTCAAGGTTAAAACATTTAAGAAAGGGTTTTGAAAAAATTAAAACAGAAAATTGTAAAAAATGAGGCAGGACAGTAAGAAACTGGGAATATTCCTTGACAAATGGAATGGGAAAACTGAGATAACTGAACAAACTGGCCGAGCAATTTACAGCCAGAAAATAAATCCCAGGAGCTTATCTTACGCATTCCAGACCACCTAGGGCAGATCCGCCTTGGTCCAGGTCCCTTTTCCGTGACATTCTTTGAAGGTGAAACTGACCAGGGAATGACCTCTATGCTCATTTTGATTCAGCAGCATACTAAAGGACACACATGGAAAGCTGATGAATATTCCATTGAGATCCTCCAGAGACCTCCCCTAAAACCTCAGCCTTTAGGAAACAGACAAAAACCCTTAAGACAAAGGACCCAGTTCGAGTGCTCTCTCTCTACAGCACACCTATGCCTACTTTGCTTTCCTTCTCTTAGGGTCCCATGAGACTTGCAACCAGGGGAGCAGCAGGCAGTGGCAGCTCATCCCGGGCTAACCCCCTGAGCCTGTTTCCAATAGCCCTTCTTTTGTCTCTGTAACTTGTTTCCCGGGTCCACGCAGCCCAGCTGGCTCACTTCTCCTGCCTCTGACTTTCTTTCCTAAAGAGCAGCCCATTCACATCTTCTCAAGTGCACGGTCACGTTGCATGCTAAATAAACTTCCTCCTGTGCTAGAGTTCTTGGCTCTGAATTCTTTCTTCATTAAACTCAAGAACTGAGAGTCAACAAAAAGAATTTTAATGATAAACTGGAACAAAATTTCAGATTATTGCTACAAAACTTGAGATGCTTAAGCCTGTATCTTCTTCCAGAGGAAATAGGTACTGATTTATTCTAAATGCTTGTAGAAAAGCAAGTTTAAAAGATTTAATTAAAGTTAACAGCTATCTTTTCAAAAATGCCAAAGTTATCAAAGATAAGGAAAGACTAAGAAACTGTCACAGCCAAGAGAAGCCTAGCGTAAAGTGGTATCCTGGAACAGGTAAAGGACATTTGACAAACTCTAAATGTGAATAAAGTATGAACTTCAGTTTTAAAAAGGTGTCAGTATTGGATCATTAATTTGGACAGATTACCATATTCATGGGAGATGTTAATAATAAGGGAAACTGGGTATGGAGTATACAGAAACTCTCTATGCTATGTTGCCATTTTTCTATACATCCAAAATTACTCTAAAATAAAATCTTATTTTTTTAAAATAAGCCGTAACCGGTTTGGCTCAGTGGATAGAGCATTGGCCTGCGGACTGAAAGGTCCCAGGTTCGATTCCGGTCAAGGGCATATACCTTGGTTGCGGGCACATCTCCAGTAGGAGGTGTGCAGGAGGCGGCTGGTCGATGTTTCTCTCTCATCGATGTTTCTAACTCTCCCTCTCCCTTCCTCTCTGTAAAAAATCAATAAAATATTTTTTTTTTTTTAAAAAAAGAGTCAACTGTACATAGGTATGTGACTGGACTGAATCTATTCTGATGTGGAATATAACTTCAGAGAAAATTTTGCAAACAAACCTTTTATAATGTTTATTGATTTCCTATTTGTTTCCCTTCTAAATATAAAGTTTGTTGTTTTTAAAAGTTAATGATGCCCTGACCGGTTTGGCTCAGCGGATAGAGCGTCGGCCTGTGGACTGAAGGGTCCCAGGTTCGATTCCGGTCAAGGGCATGTACCTTGGTTGTGGACACATCCCCAATAGGGGGTGTTCAGAAGGCAACTGGTCAATGTTTCTCTCTCATCGATGT